CGTAGCTTTTGTTCGAGCATCACTTCCTAAGGTCCTGCCTGACAGCCATCTGCATGATCCGCGTCCTTCGGTTGGTCCCCTTTCCTGCCTTATTTTTTCCTATAGTTCTGATCACCTTCCAACAGACCATATAATTTACTAATTTTTAAGAACATTTATTGGCGTTTTCTTTCAATTAGGATGAGACATCCACCAGGGCAGGGTTTTTGTTTTATTGTGTGTGTTTGGTTCTGTGTGTCTTCATGTACCTGGAATGGTGCCTGTCATTGATAGGGGAGCAGCAAGTATTTGGAGGGAATGGCACGAATGTTGCTTGCCCACACAGTCCTGTGGATGTTTTAGGAGGACCTGCTACACTGTTTGCCCTATGTTTAGAATCTTCTACTCTCTGAGTCTCTTAAGCCTAGACTCCTACTTGACTTTTTCTTTTCCTCTTATCATTAGTTGCTCTGGGCATTTTCCTCTCTGATTTTCTGTTCTACTTCAGTATATCCCCCCTTCCCTCTGCCCACTCCGAGTGACTTGGGTTTTCTTCTTGGACCTGGGAACTAACAGCCTACTGCTATCATGTCCGTCCTGGTAGCCAGGTGGTGTCAGCACCTATAAGATGCTTTATTAAAGGCACACATGTTGTTTATTACCAGCACTTGCTTGTCCGGAGGTAATTATTAATTAATTGATTAATTTTGTGGTGCTGGGGATGGAACTCAGGACATTGCACATGCCAGGCAAGTGCTCTGAATCTGAGTTGTATCCCCAGCCCATGGGCAGTTCTTGGCTGGTGACAGCTTATGTGGAGGACAAGTGCTTTGTAGATTTCATCAGTGACTGCTCCCTAATTGTCAGTGGCAATAGGGATAAACTGGTAGGAACTGCCACCCACTGTGAAATCCAGGCAGGACATAAGAGCTTGTGAGTACCCCTGGCAGCCCTTGTTCCCCTAGTGGTCTGCCGTGTTCAGACATATGGAAGGAGATCTCTGGAAGCATCTGAAACAAGGTGTAGCACATGGGCTTTTCCATGATGGTTTAAGCACTGGCATTTGGTGTTAGGTAATGTTTGCCCTATGTACCTGCTTCTCAAGTGGGTTCAATTTTTTTTGGGGGGGGGCATTTGAACCCAGAGATGCTTTACCACTGAGTCACATCCCCAGCCCTTTTTTTTTAAAAAAGTTCATTTTGAGACAGGGTCTTTCTGAGATGCTTAGGGCCTTGCTAAGTTGCTGAGACTGGCTTTGAACTTTGCAATCCTCCTGTCTCAGTCTCCCCAGCCACTGGGATTATAGACATGTGCTACTGTGTCCAGCTCAGATGGGTTCATTTTTGTGGAAGAGGGGGTCGCTGTCTATAGATGCGTGTGTCCCTGTTGTGATGAGTCTTGAAGGAAAGCTCCTGGGACAGTGCGCTGTTCTCTCCACCTTTGTGTGGGTCGTGTTAGGAAGCCAATATCCAGAGGGTGAAGTGAGCCAGTCTCAAGAATAAATGACTTGTTTTCCAGTGTCCTCTCTTTTAAATAATCTCAGAACTCATCCATATTCAATATTCAGTAGGTTCCTGTATTTAGTGATGTTTCTATGTAAGCTTTCAGAAATTGAGCTTGTCTGTAGATTTGTGGGAGTTAACTTTAGTTTTTGATTCACTAAGCAGCAAACCCAGTTTCCATTTGGGTTCAAGTCTTTTCTGTGTAGACTATAGTTTTTGGCCCTATTTTAGTGCAAGCTCCCAGAGAGCTGAGACAAAGACTGTCCCAGCTTGCTTTCTCCCACATGGTGCCACTGTGGTATCAGTGGGTCCTAGGCATGGTGTTTACCTATTGCAGGTGGTTTTGAAGCAAGCCAAAGGAGTCATTTTGCACCTGAGGCTCTGCTTTTAACCCATACTCTCACATTTCCTGGACAGCCCTAATTTAAGTTGGGTACATATTATTGATGCCGACTTCATCTCAGAGTGATAAAATATGGCCAGCCCCCATGCGCAGAGGGTATGGATGTTCACAGGTGCCCTATGTCTTTGATTGACCTTCCATTGGAGTGATTATGAACTTACCTCTGTAGAATGAAGATGCTTGGACTGGTGTAGTAGGTTATATGCAGCGGGTGGATAGTTAAACATGCAAGCAACTAAATCCCAGGGTTGGGTTCCTAGTATTCTAGTTTCTTCCTGGCAGCAATTTTCACCTTTTTCCTTGCCATGCCACCAAATGATGAACCCTCTTATGAACCTTTGATTTTGATACATCCTCAAAATATTTTCTAGGAAAGTAAACTAAATAGCACCAAAGACGTGTGTGTGTGTGTGTGTGTGTGTGTGTGCGCGCGCGCGCGCCTTAAGAAGGGTGTGGCATTCTTAAAGATGCCTTATACTATGTTCTTTTTTTTTTCATCTGTTATTGCCTTTTTTCTGATTTAAAATTTTATCTACAGGAGAAATGATAGAGAACATTGAAAAATAAAAGCTATAAAATCCCACGTGGTTGTGTCTAACCACCAGTCAGGCTGGGATGCTCCTTGGTAGGGACAGCTCCTGGAGTCTCCTAGGCTGCAACTTAAATGAGCTAGACTGTGGGATTCTGTGGGAACTGGCTATGACTTTCTCTGTTTTTCTGCCAGTCATATCAGAATGCAAGTGAGGAATGGCAGTGCCATTACAGGGAACCACTTGTCCCCATTTCTGATTGGCAGAAAGCACACTGTTGGTACCAGAACTAGTTTTGGTGGCCGAGCACTTATGACACATGAATGAAGACACAGTGTTGTGGGACCCACACACGGGATGCTGCAGTGAGGGGCATCTCCTGCTTCACAGTATCAAGAGGGCAGTGGAGAGTCACCATGGTGGACTGGGGATTGAAATGTGGGTTCTGTTTGTTGGTGAAAATGTGTCCCTATTAGTATGACCTCTAGAAAACTGATGGCTTTGCCATGCTCTGGCCTTTGTTGTTGGCTTGGTAGGGATGCACTCATTAGTCTGCATTCCTGGTGTTTTCTGTTATCAAGATGACATTGCATCCTAGTGTTACAAGTTGGTAGCAACTCTGATGGGATTATAAGACTTTTGGAAAGCTTAGAAACAAGTCAATGTAATTAATGTAATTAAAGTGCTCTGATTTTTTTTGTTTTTGTTTTTGTTTTTGGTTGCTCTTAGATAATTCTCACTGCAGAATGAACTAAGGGAAGAGGACACTTACTCACCAGGAATGGAGAGCAGTTTGCCAGTTCCCAGCATGCAGGACCCTTCATCTTCCCCCCCGGAAAAGCACGTTGGCTCAGCTAATGGCAGCGGAGATCTTGATTCAGGTAAGACTTTGCTTGTTCCATCCTTTTGGCTTTTGGTTTTTTGACCAATATCTTCCCCAAATGTTCTGGAAAAATGGGGGCAGCATTTCTAGAGCCCACAATTCTGCCTGTTCCTGGGGTTTGCCTTCCTGTTCCTAAGGATGCAGCAGTTTTGAAGTTAAACTTGGGGTGAAGGTGAATTCAACTGTACTAGGCAGAACGGGCTGGCAGGAGGGGGGTGATGCCCCCTTCTTAATCTCAGTGGTTTCAGCCACTAGTGGTCCTAAATCATGACGTCGTCTCTGGCAGACATCCTGGTCCAGTGTTCCACCCAGTCCTTGTGCGCAGGATGGGAGTACACCCAGGGTTAGCCACAATGGAGGCATGTGGAGCGTGTGCGTCTTGAGCCAGCAGTTCATTGCTCTAGCTCAGAAGGGACAGATACCACTTTTACTCAGAACCCTTCGACTAGAAGTTAGTCCCATGTTTGTGCCCCAGGAAGGCAGGCTGGGAAATAGAATTCCGTTCCTGAGCCACAGAGGGACAGGAGAACCCGATCTGCCCAAACACAGGGCTCTCTGAAGGTTGAGCACATCCCTGAGGCTGCAGTGTGTGATGGGAAAGAAATTCCCAGCATATGCTTTTTCTGTGGCAGTGTTACCTTCTTTAAGAAATCTGATAAAAAGCAAAAAACTAACACCCCCACCCCCAAACAGCCTCTGATTGGATTTTAATATTTAACTAGTGGATTTAGAAATGTGTCTGTTTCTAAGTACTTACACACTAAAGGGCTTATTTGAAAAGGATACTTTATTTATACATAGCAGCAAATTAACCATGGACAGCTCAGCCCTGTGATTCATAAACACCTGCCGTGGTGAATTCACATAAATAATGTTGCTCATCAACTCAGTGGGAGATTTGACCATTTGCCTAAAGAAGTTTGTCTTCACAGTTTGATTGGACAAGTCAATGACAAAATGACAGATTGCTTGGTGTCATTGAATTTATTAAATTAAGTTTCTCAAATTGTATCCTTACCTGGAAAAAAACCTGGAGGCCCCTGAAATAAGGGGGATGCCTTGGCAGGATGAAAGATACTAGTGTCTGTTTCCAAGTCAGCTCCGTTGCCCTCTTTATTTAATATGTGAGTAAGAAAACTTCTACAGGTAAAGTTGAATCATTGTTCCCAGTGTAAATGTGGAGGTTTTCTTCTCAGAGGGCAGGCCCCACAGTTCATCCTAATTATTCTACTTTTGTTGAAATATACTTGTGCCTTTTTTCGGGGTGGGGGTACCAGGGATTGAACTCAGGGGCACTCAATCACCGAGACACATCCCCACTCATATTTTGTATTTTATTTAGAGACAGAGCCTGGATGAGTTGCTTAGCGCCTTGCTAAATTGCTGAGGCTAGCTTTGAACTCGCCATCCTCCTGCCTCCTGAGCCACTGGGATTTACAGGCGTGTGCCACTGTGCCTAGCCATTTGTGCCTTTTAAAAGTCTCTCTTACATTTTCTGAGTGAGGTTATTTTCCATTCTTGGAATTGCTGAGCTTTCGCTGTTTTTTCGTAGTATATCATCTGCACACATCACGTGTGTTGCTGAACCATTGACAGTGGTGTGCTCTCAAAACAGTTTAAAAGCCAACTATGTATTGGCTTTTCATTTTCATGCAACTTCAATATCTTTCCGTACTCTCTCTTGCCTGAGCAGATTCTGAACCTCATCAATGATAATCTGCTGTCAGAAAATTGTTTGTACTGACATTTCCTCGAGGATGGTTCCAACTATGGAAAGTCTAGAGCGAGGGTGGAATCATTGGCCAGGGGGTTCCAGGCCGGAGGCCTGTCATATATACTTACTTCCCAATTTGTTGCTTGCTCTTGTGTGGTGGATGACCTAAAACATACAAGATGCTCATATGTTTAATAAAAACAGCATTTCTAAATAATTGTAAATGATCATTACATATTTCAGACATTGACCACATACCCCCGTTGCCCCTCAGTGTGGGTAATCTGTCACTTGTTTTTGGAGTTTCTATGTGCACTTACTTGTATGGTCATGGTAAGGAGACCTTTTAAATGGTGCTACAAATTTAAAACCAGGGTCTGAAACTTTGTAGAGTGCAGAGGCTGAATTCATTCTAGAAATTCAAATCCAGTTTTGAGCATTTAAATCATGAACAACAGAGTCAAGTATAAGTCTTCAAGTTATTTATTTAGTTTTTGTGGCACTGAGGATTGAACCTGGGGCCTTGCACATGCTAGGCAATCAAGCTCTCTGTCAGTGAGCTATACCTTCAGCCTCATGTGTTTTTATTATTTTTTTTTTTGCCAACCTGTTCATACATAAAATATTGTCAATTCTAGAATCAGTTGTGGGGATATTTGATTCTGGGGCCCACTGGGGATAGTCTTAGTGCTTAGGGTCTATCCCTGAGAAGAATTTTCAGATGAGATTTGTGGGCTAGCTGTTCCAAGAGAAGGGAAGGACAGAGTTCTTCCATGGGTTCCACATGGACTTGGAACGAGGGCCAATCCCTTGTGAGCTTGCCTTCAGACCATAAGGCAGACTCTCAACATTTTGTGTGTGTGTTAGTTCACTTACTCCTTTGACATGCAGTGGAGTGGCTGCATTGACTGTCCACAGTTCCCAGATGAGGAAACTGGTCCAGGTGAAGCCTCAGGTGGTGGTTGGAAGCAGGATTTCATCTCAGGCATCCTCAGGCATCCTCAGGCTGTGGAGTTGGTGTTCTGAAGTGCTGGTGGGGTAGGCTTGTGCTTTCTGTGCAGAGATAAGTCAGGAATCCACTCCCCACTCCTATGGGACAAGGCATAGCCCACATTCTTCCCGGTTCTTTTTTCCACTCCTCCTGTGTCCTCTCCCTGTGTTGTATGACACAGGGCTTCATCTTCCTAGCAAGTGACTGCACTTAAGTGACTGCAACCTTCTCTGAGGAAAGTGTGGGGTCAAAGAATGAAAGACCTAACCTGGTTATTCAGCAGTTTTTTTTGTTGTTGTTGTTGCTCAATTCCCCACAGTCTGCACCCAGCTGTCATTGAACGGACATTTTTTAAACAAACAAACCAAAAAAAAAGAATTTTGACTTTTTTTCCTAAGGAAAATTCAAATCCTGATTGGGATCAGTAACGGATACCCAAGTCCTGCAAATGCAATAGGCACAATATAAAATTGCTTCTCCTCCCAGGGACACGGATTATGTCTCTGGAATAAGCACAGGTAGATGAAATATCCCAGGAACTGCAGGCATTCCCAGCAGATAGGATGGACAGCCTCCTCCTGGGTGTAGGAGGAGCAAAGTGCACCGGAAACCTGATCGTGGGAACTCTAGGCGACTTTGGTGGCTGCTCTAGCAGCAAGCAGAACAATATGCTGACATAGTGATAAATACATTCCCCGACATATTTTTGTAGGCCTGGTAAGTGTAATTTCCTGGTGGAGACTGTGGATGAAGTGGGCTGCATATTTAGACTTGGCAAGCCTCAGAGCAGAAGGATGGGCACTGGAGGGCTTGCCTCCATCTTGTTTTCTCCTTGGTGCTGGGAAAATACTAACTGCAGAGCCACAGGCTCTTGTGTTTGGGAAGAAAAGAAGTCAGCATTCTCAGAGAAAGCCAGGACTGCCATGCTGAGGTCCAGGTCTGTGACCTGGCAGTATTGTTCCCTGTCTCCTAAAGAGTTGCTCTTTGAAGAGTTTCTGCTTTCCCCAGGGAAGAGGATTTTTGCTTTCTTCCCTCCTAGATAAACTGTGGCCATCTGAGATAGCCACAAGGACCTTTGCATTCTGATGACTGTCCCTCCTGGAGTGCAGGGGGCCTTGGTTCCTACAGTTGCTCACAGCTGCACTACTTTGTACACCTTATGTAGTATGAAATGAACTGGCTGTTGTGTTTGAATTAAAAGAAACTTAATGTCTTCTTCCTGTCTCTCTCCACATTAAAAAAAACCACACACACACACACACACACACACACACACACA